ATATTCTTGATCCAGTCTCAAAAATCAAGATTAAAAAGCTATATGGATTATTGCAAAATGTGCTTTGTTTTGTATACCAAAAAAATGTCCCCTGATTTGGTCTTACAGTCAGTGTTTATAAATGCAAGAGTAATGGCTTAATTAGTATCTCTGCTAACTTAAATTGCACGTTTTATTGTAGAACGTACTTTTCTGTGGGGGAAATGGGAAGTGAGGGAAGTAGTAAGCCAAGTTTTGAAACAAAATTCTGATTCTTTTTATAGAGATTAACTTTGACCCCTTTATTTTTTAAAAATGAATTGCTTTATAGGATAGCATTGTTTATCTGGAATCCTCTTCCAAACCCCATTGACAAACGTGAAAAGAAGAGTAGCAAGTACAATCTATTGAGCACTTATATGCACAGTTGCACAGGTTGCGTATTGTACAAGGGCACTAGCATGTCTAAGGGGGTGTGGTTCACATCGTTGACATCATTATTTGCATACTCATTAAGAAAATTTTCCAGCAGATGGCAGTAAAGTCTTGCTTGAACAAAATCATACTATTACAACAATTTCTGCCAAATGAAGTAAAGTTTCTTGAGAGCTGTATACTTTTCACTGTTCACATAAAGGTATCGTATAGACAGACTACCGGTGGCACTGCTTACTACACCCCAGGACCTATTCTGGCTCATTGTTGCTTAATCCCCAGGATATTATAAAGTGGGTGCTATTGGTAACTTGCTGAAGGCCAGTGAGTCAGGCTGTAGTAATTTTGAGATTCTAATGTGGGTCTCTAACTCTAGAGCCTGTCCTCTTCTGCACTAAGCCATGATACTTCAGAAAACTATGGCCTGGGGATTTAAAGAGATTTGACCACAATGAGCCTTGCTACCCTGAAGCTCAGTCCAGCCTGCTGCCTGTTCTACTCTGTGCTTACCGCAGTGCTGGATGCCACTGGGGACTAACGGAAGCGGGGCACATATCACTCATCCAAGAAAAAGGTCCTACTTCAGTCAGCAAAACACAAAAATTGGAGAACGATGACATTCTCTTTGGCATTTTAATTATATTTGTATGATTTAAACTATATATACTACAGAAATTTAAAAACAGAGAACCTAATATAGGTTACAATAGTTCTCAAAGAGTTGGAATTCTTTATATCAAAAATACATTGAATAAACACCATCAGTAATGCGTGAATTTTATATTTTAGTATAAATTTTAGCAAGATTGCATTACCACAAATTCCATATATATGGAACTTTTTAAAATGTATAAATATCTATATCAAACTGCCTTGCAAAATGATACATTATTAGTATAATATTCTTGATCCAATGTTGTAAAACTGATAAGCCATAACTAGCACTCAGTTTAAAATCTCTACAGCAAATACTCACCAATCATTACTAAAAGGAGAGCATTTATAAATATTTTATATCGATCTCTATAGTTGAGAATTTTTACCTAAACCCACTAAACAAACAGAAAAAGTGAAAACTCCATCTTCTGTGAGACAAGCAGACTGCTATAACGTTTGCTTTTTATTTTAAAATAGTATGCGTAGCATACATATACTTCTCTAAATATTTTTCTATCCGTATAAAGGCAGAGAGGAACTTGGAATTATGTTAACTTGTTAATGACAATCATTTTCTGGGTTGTGAAATTTGGAGTGAAGTTTTTGCTTTGGGCTTTATCCTTTCATATATTGCCTAAATTTTTTAAAAATTCACTGATTTTTATGAACACAATAAAATCATTCTTTAATGCAATTATCACTGAAAGTCTAATCTTACGGCCTTTAGAAAAATAATTTTATAGACAAATCAAATTTGAAAAGTCCAAAGTTCCTTAAGCAACTGGTAAATGAAACAGTTATAGTTAAGACTGTCGTTTGATCTGTTTAATCTCTGAAACAAAATAGCTATAAATCAATATTTCGTAGACAGAGAATTTTGTGGGACACTAAGCCAGTGCATACACATGCCTCAGTATTTGCTAGCGCCTAACTTAATCAAAGGATTGGAGATTTGAAAACACAACAGACAAACCCTTCATTCTTTTAAGGTCAGTTTCTAAACTTGACATCTTAGATTAGAGATGGCCTCACTCAGGAATTTAAGGTCAGGGTTTATGAATTTAAGGAAAGGATTGACGATGTGAAAACACAACAGACAAATCCTTCATTCTTTCAAGGTTAGTTTTTAAACTTGACATCTTGGATTGGAGATGGCCTCACCCAGGAATTTAAGGTCAGGATTTATGTTAAGCAGGACCTCAAATCAAGTTTAGAAACAAGCAAATCTTTAATCCTTTCTTTAAGGGCATAATTTGAGAGGAAAAGGTTAGAAAAACAGGTCAACCTCCTGTAAATATGAGGTTGTCATTTATTTTATATACTAAATGAAATATGCCTGTTTTGTGTTCAGTGTCTTGTGCCTATTTTATTCCTTGTGTCCAGGCAAATGTGTGTATATTAGAAAACTCCATGAAGGCAGGAAATGCAGCTTTTCTTTATTGTAAATCATCTGATACAAACTCTACTTATCTAAGAGTATGAGGCCTGGTGCGCCCAATTGCTTGATTTTTGGACCATACGTGTAGTTTGTCATTGACTGTCATTGCTCATACATCACATGTCGGTTTGCACAGAACAAAATTACAAAATTGTTATATGCATCACTGCAGGTTATTTTCACAAGCATCTTATTAGTAAGCTGAGCAAGTACTATCACCCTTACTACTTAACAAATGTGACTAGAATCCAGATTTCCAACATCTCTTTTAGGCACCACTGATTTGTACCTATTTCCACAACAGGTGAACTGAATGAATAATAATAAGGGTCAACCAATAATGTGATTTAACCAATTCTATTCCTGAAGTCCTAAAAATAAATTGTTCAACTAAATGAGATATCCTAACGATAGCTGACTTTTAAATAAATTGCAGGGGGAAGAGGAAACAGTGGGACAAGAATTGGTCTGCCTAGAGGATTGGAATTGAAAAAATTCAAACTAAAGGTGAAAATATCAAAGAATACCGTCAATGAGAGACACTATTTTTGCTCTAGCACAAAAGATTTTTTTTCAGTTTTAAAGTTTTGTAATAGACTTTTCAAAAAGTAAAGCTTCATTTTGCTTTAAGTGTTTTATGTCAAAAAACATTTCATAGCATTAATATTCTAAATTGCATATGATCAAATTGTAGCACCTATCGATCACTATTAAATATTTTATTACTTTCTTAGTTTAATACTGTTTGATAAGTATGAAATGATATATGCAGTAAAAACTCTCAAGTACAACATACGATGGCAAGAAATATCTAATAGGAAATTCACAATTCCCATATCATTTGAAGAGGTTTTATCCCAGATAGACCAGTTTCTTCATTAGCAAAATGGTCATCTAAAAAAAAGATCTTAATAAAGGAAGACGAAAACTACCTTTATTTTCTCAGGTTGTTAAAAGGTTCAAAGCAGGCAGGCAGAAAGGAGAGGTAGGAAAGTTACAAAACTGGGAATAAAAGTTATATTTTCTTATGCAATGAGCCAAAGAAATTACTGCAAGGAAACAAAATAGGCACAAAGAAGTATTAAAAGGTCAAACTGCAAGCAATCCTAGACTGATATAAGGCAAAAGGAAATGAGACAATCTTGAGTATAATATTTTAAAAGGTACAGCAAAGCTATGCACTATTAGGAAATGATAACAGAGATGAATGCAGAAAAAAAATTAATTAATGTATAGGTTCCTTTTGAGAAGAAAACCTGAAAGCTGGCCAGATTGGAAACACTGTGGCCTAGGGGCTCCCTGGCTATCATTCACCTCCTCTCCAGTCTTCCAGGGGAGATCACTGTAAAAAATGTCCCTTTAGATCAAAAGACATACATGTGCCAACTAACCAAGATTCTTAAGTTTAATCACATATTCCCCAAGGTCAGAAACACACTAGATATGAAAAACAAACAGAAACTCATGGACATGGACAATGGACTAGTGGTTGCTAGAAGGAATGGGGGAGGTAGGTGGGGTAAAAGGGGTCAAATATGTGGTGACAGAAAGAAATCTAACTATGGGCAGTGAACACACAATGCAATATATATATGCCTTACTGTTGAACTGTACACTTGAAACACTGGATTTCATTAACTGATGTCACCATAATAAAAAAAGAAAAATGAAAAGGACAATTCTATTGCTCTTTTTAAAATTTTATTGAAACCCCATCTCATCCCCTTTCAGCTCCCTAAGTAAAGACGCATGTAAAATCTGAGCATGATGGTATTCTTTTCAAATTACATCTTAAATCTCTGAAAATGTGACTTTCAAAACTTGGGAAAGTGAAGCTAGCTAAGAAAAGGGAATACTGATGACCCACTTTACACACCTTCTTTCTTGTTTATTCATGAGCAGAGCTAGACGAAGAAACCTTTCAATGAAAATGGAAAGCATGTCTGCAGTGGTATGATGCTTAATGTTGACTTCCATCCTCTCCAACCCCATGACAGATAAGGAACAGTTTAGGTAGGGTAAGAAAAGAGCTTAGAAAACTTGGGATGGAAGAAAAGTTCCCTAAGGTTACCCAGAGAGTATGTATTCAGTTAAGGTACTTGTGTAACTAGCATCAGAGTCTCTTTCAAATGCCCTGTACTTCATGTCAGTTTCTTCTTTCAGCTATTTCCCTTCTAAGCCAGTTTTCCTTGCCTATGTCTATGTGGCATTAACTGAAATAATTATGAGTTTTCGAATACCATCTTTCATCTATATCTAGTTGGAGGGGTGTGCGTCTGTGTATATATGGTCTTTAACAGAATAATAACAAATGCCTTAAAAACCCTTTAAGGTCCTTTTTAAATCTACATTTAGAGAGTAAACTCTGTGTAAATGACCACGGATAGTGTCTCATATATTCAAGCCATTGATTTTTAAAGTATTATGTAAATTTAGAAAATATTGTCCAAAGGTGTTTCACATTGAATAAATCTAGAATTTACTTAGTTCGAATATTTAGAAAGAGCTTTAACAACTTATTCATAAGTGTTCTGCAGTGAATTTGAGTATAAAACTGTAACTGTGCTTAGTTAGTAAGTGGTTGATAGCTGTCCACTCTTTGCAGAAGTGTATCTGAATATCCAGGAGAATAATACCTGAAAAAGAAAATTTTCTATTAGATATTTGTGAAAAGATTCAGCACAGTAGGCACAAAAGATTCAATATAAGGTATTTATCCAAAATAATTCTGTGAATGAAATTTCAAATATACCCCAAATAATTATGCTCCAATAATGCTTTGTGCATAAGGTTAGAGACTATGAAGAAAGAGAGCACCAGCTCACAAGACTGTTCTAGATAAATAGCAAAACACGTAAGGGATTTCAATGCAGTGACAAAGAAGGGGTGTTTTCAAAGCAAGATGCTTGGATCCAATGATAGTATTTTATTACAGAAGCTTTGTTTTTATGATGTCAAGTGACTGATGTTGCTTTAATCATAGCTAACAGATTTTTTTTCATAAGTTAGACAACACAGTCCAGCATTACTAATCAGCCTCTGCATTTGATTGCCTTAAAGATTATTCTCCAGGTTTGTTTTATTCAGATCTGGTCATCCGTAAAAACGAAAGTTTCTGGGAGCATAGTTCATATTAAAGAACCATTTCATAAATAGTTTACAAATATTCCATCATACAAACCTAGAAAACTAATCATTTTCATTTGTTCTTAGGCAGCTACAGTATTACAAATTTATATTTATAAATTGAACATTTTATGAAAGATTTAGTATAAAAGGATTAAATATATGGATTAATGCATTATGAGATGTTTCATATACCATGGAAAGATGTTTATAAAAATATGTCAAATAAAATTTGGCTGACGCTCTAGCATATATAAATGAATAAAAATCTAAATAAGTGTAATTTAAAAATTGCCAAAACACTTAAAATAATTAAGCCTCTTAAGTTGTTTCCTCCAGATAAAATGTAATTTTTGAGACTTGCTTTGTCCTGTGATACTTTATTTATGCTCAGAAGCTTGACTTAAACACTCATGTATTTATAGTATACTAATTTCTTCCACAATTTGTCAAGTTATAGTGGACAAAACAGAACTGTATTTTCTCAGTAATGTGCTTTTATAGGCTATCATAGTTGAACATATATATACACACACACACATACACAAACATAAAAAGCTACCTTAAAAAGAATGTTTTTCTTCTACAGGCCTCCTGCTCTGGAAAAAATTGCCCTTCAACAGTGGGTCTCTTCAAAGTATTCATACACTGAGGAATTCACAACTGTTTCTTTCTCTCAGTCATAAATTTTAAAGTAGACCTTACTTTCCTAGGTCTTATGAATATGTCAGACACAAGATAAGTATTTTTTATGTAAATGGCAGGAAGTAGATTTTAAAAAATCTAAACTTTAAAAATTGTGCTCTTTAATATGGTAGTTACTAACCACATGGGCCTATTGAGCATTAGAATTATGACTTGTGTGTTTGAGAAACCGATTTTTCATATTTAATCTTAATAAAAATTTAAAAATTGATACTCAAGTCAGTATTGGAAGTACTTTAAGTGTCTTTGAAACAACCTGTGAATCTACTTTTTCATCTATAAACTTTATATAATCTAAACAGAGATTAAGTATTTCAGATGAAATTTAGCATTGTGAATTGGAATGTGCCGGAAGTGATAAAATACTCACCAGATTTCAAAAACTTAGTATAAAAAATGTAAAATAATTAATTAATAACTTTCATATTGATTACAAGTTGAAATGTTAATACTTGGATAAACTAGGCTAACAAAAATATATTATTAAAATTTATTTATCCTGTTTTATTTTACTTTTTTTAACGTTATCTATTAGAAAATTTAAAATTAAATATGTAACTCACATATTTCTATTGGTAGTATTGCCTTAAAACCAGGTCCCCAGTAAATAAATTAGGATCTACCAATAATTCTTGAGGCTTTACCCGGCTAATTGCCAAGCTAATTGTCACTGTCATACCTCTTTCCTCAAGGACTTCAGAGACTCCACAATCTCAAGGACTCTCAACTGGGAAGGAAATGTGCTCAGTACTTACACCTCCCCCTTACTGCTATCCCAGACCCATGTAGAATGCAGGTTATTATACAGTTATCGTATGAGAAATGTGCCAAATGGAAGACTATAGACATGCCTTCCTCTCAAATTTAGATATTTCCTAAAAACAACTTCCCTTCCCCAGTTTAGGCAGAGATCCAGAAGACAGAAGAGTTCCAAAAATACCTCTGGCTGTGGAATGGATCTGGACTAGAACTTCTACCATCTAGTCCTGGGCATCTTCTCTCTCATCATACCAACTACATTTATCAGAAATTTTTAAAGATTTCTAAAATTAGAAGGCAATATGAAGTAAATGTTTAGGCTAATAACAGCTGGGAGAAAGTAACTGTTGATAATCTGTCTTATAAAGAATAATTAGTTCTAAAATAGTCACCAAGTGATTCTTGAGAATTATATGATTGCAAAAATAAAACCATTTTAAGATTATATTTGTCTTTTTTTCATAGAAAGATAATGTTTCAAAGATTTCTATAAAACACCACTTTATAGAACCTAAAGCTTAAAAATATATATATCAGAAACTTGAAAAAGTTAGCTAACCAAAATTTTTCATGATAAAATAAAATCCCAGATCACAGAATGCTGGAAATTTAAAGCTTTCAATGGTATTTTGACAAAGCATCAGAATAGATTCTCACATGACAGAGTTTTTTTATTTCCCCTGGTGCTCTGTAAAATAATCCTAGAAAAGAGTAGAAAGAAGACTTCTGTTCAAGGAAGTACCTTACCATTAGTTAATTCTGATAGGTTGTTCCATTGTGGGGACCCTTTCATTTGCTTTCTTATTATTTTTACATAACTTTATGTTAGAAAATGGTATTGAAAGTTATTTTAAACTTAAACAAGGTAGCATTCTTCCTGAAGAGATGTGTAAATGTGTAAAAATTAACTTTATTTTTTTCTTGAGAAAAGATTTTCCTGTTTCTTTTATTTAGTGGTTTTAAACATATTTTATATGTTATATAAACTTTTTGAGTGTATCATTATATTTGTATGTTATATAGAGTAAATATACATTTTATGATATATTACTCTTTTGGTATGTTTTATATATATTAATACTTTCAAAGCTAACTTGTTGGACCTCTTTTGGTCAAGGATTTCTCGTAAATCTCCCAAGAGTGCATAAATTTGTATCTTTGGAAATAATTTACTTGCAGAATATATGTGAACAGAATAATCTTAAAGAAAATTATTTTTGTCTTTAAAATCAATATTACTATCTGTATTAAAAACCACTGATATTAAATTTGAAAATAGTCTATACAACTTTTATGTTATGTTTTGAACATTGGAATTTATATTCTCTAATATTAATTAGAGAAAATATGAAATGAGGGTAGGATTAGAAAAATATAGCCTTTAATTCTGCATGTATCGTGGGAATTTTTCAAAATTTTGTGATTTAAATCATTCTATCTTTTCTTGGTAACTTTTAATTATTTTGGGTTTGGTGGTATAGTTCTCTTTTAGACTTATAAGGACTGAGGCTTAGGTTTAATGCTCTACAATTCAACTTCATTTTAAAAAACTAATTTTGAAAATAGCTTCTTGCTACAGTATTATGAAGCACCTGCATATCATAAACATTATTTTATTTTTTTCAAATATAGATTGTAACTTTCTTTTTTGACACTCGACATCTCTTTTCTATTTATAATACTCCCATTAATATAAATGTGAGCTTAAGGCAGAAAAATAATATGCAGGTAACTCTGAAAATCAGGCCCCGTCTAAATCAGGTTCACATTAAAGATTAATTTAATTTGAACTCTGTATTTGGGCACTCTAATAAAGCATGTCTTAAATTAGTACAGAAATGTCTCAAATGGCATTCCAGTTTGATTTGGAAACGTGTGTGTCAATGAGAACATTATTTAAAGTGAGAGAAAAAAGAGATCAAGAGCAGAAGTAAAAGTATACACATCGATCTCTTATAATATTTCAGAGTCCACGTTTTGACACGATGGATACAAAATCTAGATTTGAAAACAGAAAAACTATGTTATAACTTTGAATTTCTCAAAGTTGATTTTTCCTACCTTACTATTTCCTCTGGATAACAGTTGTTAATACTGTTAATATATTCTTGAAGGAGGGATCCAGGCTCTGCTTTTATCTCTTGAACCTTTTTAAGTCCACCACTTGTTACAAAAAGTCGTCGAGCTTTGCTATCATGTGGCAGCACCTTGAAAAGTAAAGCACATTAAAATGTCAGCTTTTCTTTTTCAAGTTGGATTATTGCTACTCTATCTGAGGAAACGTAAAAGAGAATTTATGTCCAATATATCTGTAACATAATGAGTCTATATTTGGAAGTTAAATGCAGTCTTTTTAGGAACATACGAACTTTTCATGTTATGGATATGGGATAAAGGCAAAGAACATAAAGAAAGGCAATGGAGATCCACTCATACGCATGAAATGTGAAGTGGTATCCCTCCTTTGCAGATATCCATTCAAAATCTTTTGGCTACCTACAAAATTAACGACAAATTCATTAACAAGGCCCAGAAGGTCTTCTGAGACCCGGCAACTAAGTACCTCCCCACCTTCCTTTCCCATCAATCGCTATCCCAAATTTTATTCAATAACCTCAAAATGTGCGTGCCAGGCCATTTCTTGCCTTTGCCTAGGCTATTTCCTCTCCTAGAATGCCCTTCCACCTTCCATACTCTTCTCCCCATTTGCTTGGCTAACTCCTGTCCATCTTTAAAATTTAGCTCAGGTGTTACTTCCTTTAAGAAACTTTCTCTGGGACACCCTTACTCTCTTATCCCAGGATGAGTTAGATACTTTTCTTTTCTAGTAGCATTCTGTTAAATCCCATTGGTGCACTTGCCACCAAATTAAAATTAACATTTTAATTATCAGTTTATATGTCTGTCACACATAAATGTCATAAAGTCAGAAGCTGTACATTTGTTTATTCACTTCTCTAGTGCCTGGTGATTAAAAGATGTTCAATAAATGTTTAACAAGTGAATGAACATATTAAAGAGTAGGCAGAGGAAGGAAATTGAGTTGTTAAAGAGATAGAAGAATTAGAAAAGTAAGGAATCAACAAATCTAAGAGAATATTTCAAGGAAAAACCAATGAGAACTAAAGAAACTCACTGGATTTGACAGTGGATGTTTGTGAGTTGAGAGGAAAGAGAGGAGATGAAGAAATTAATTATGTAGCACAACAACAACTGATGAGAAAAGGAAGGTTCTGGAGAGGGGCTTCGCATTGTGGGAATTCCCACTCTCTTCCTTGGTCATCACTACTATTCCCTCTGACAGAAACACCCTTTCTGTCCCCCGCCGCCCTTACTCTTTCCTCAAAACCAGCTTTTTTCTCTTGTATTTCCTCTCTGAATGCCTCAGACTGCATTAACGTACTCCTTCTTTTAAAGGAAGTGTATTATGAAGTCTAGCACACCGAAGTATTTTTTAATTGTTTCATCTGGCCTCCCCAGCTAGATTATAAAGTCCCTTGAAGAAGAACTTTGTCTTATTTGAGTTATTTTTTTTTTGTTTGTCTATCCCCCAAAGCTTTATAGGGTACATGTAGGCATTTAACAAATACTTCGAACTACAAAAAGATCTGGCTAATAGAATGGTAATACACATCAACTGGACAATAAAAGATTATACAATACTAAGATATTTCTAAAAAATTGAATGGCTTACAGATATCAGTTTTAAATATTATTTTTATTTTGGCCTGGAGAGTTTTCATACTTCCTATGTCTGTCCCCAGCTACATTAAAATAATACCTTTTTACCTCTGCCTTGCTCTCCCATTTTTTTCTAATGCTCTGATATCTTTAGATTAGGAAAACACAAAATTCTGCCTGGAGCAAATATTCCCAAAGGCACATTTGTAAGTGTACATAATATGAAGTACTGTCTGTCTTTATTTTATCTTGGCTATCTAACCTTCCACAAATCCCACTGATATGTGTTTATTTACTTTAGTGACTGCTTTTCAACTCTTAATTCTGGTTAGAGTTCATTTTTATAGCAAGTTAAGTAGCCTAAAAGATTAGACTATTCAAATGAAACTTTCAGAAATAGTGCCAACTACTCATTTTTGAGAACTGATGACTCTGACTATACATGATCCACTCAGCTCCTTACTCTTCTTGCCTCTTAGCTGGTCAGTATTTTACATAGCTCCCGGAAGGGTGAAAAAAAAAAAGTTTAATTATTTTCTTAGAAGAAAGAAGACAGAACATAGGTGTTTGATACCCAAAATTGTATCTCGAGGTGGCTTCAGCAATGTAAAACCTACTATCCAGGGGCTCTGGTGCTTGAGGGTCAGCCAGGCTGTTGGAGATGGGCAAGAGTTTTTTTTTTTGAAGAAGTCAAGGATGCTGGTAGAATATCTTTCAGATGAGTACCTAAAGCTAGACCTATTTACCTATAAGGCCTCATTTAGAAGTTATAACAATATATAGTTTTGTTTATTTTTTGTAGAAATATAGTGCACAGATAGTATAGTACCTCTTTTATATAGTATTTTAACTGACTATTCAAATAAATTTGGTACCCAACTGATTTTTATTAATCTTTTTAATGAGCCTTAACCATTATGTTTTATATTTTTAAAATGTTTTTATATTTTAAAAATGATTTTATACGTATTTGTGCTTACTATGTGCCAGTGATTGAGCTAAACTCTTGACATATAACATCCCATTTAACTTTACAATGGTCCTATGAAATAGGTACTCTTATTATCCATGTTTTATGGGTGATCATACTAAGACTGAGAGATGTCAAGACTTTGCTAAGGATATTACAGCTAGTAAATGTAAATCCAGGTACCCCAACTCCACAGCCTGAGCTCAGAGCCACTGAGCTAACTGAAAGTGGGATACCACTTTCACAGACTCCAATTCCTTACATCAAATCTCCTGGGCACAATTTAACCAGTTCTTGAGAGCTTAGAATCACCATCCTAATTACCAATGGCTGTGGCAATGCAGTCATTCTCTCTCAGCCATTGCTATCAGTAGCCAGTCCTGCTGACTGCTGCCCACTGCAAGCAGCTGGATCTTCCTACCTTACTGCTAGTGATCTGCAATCATCTAAGAAATGTAACAGCTACATTTGTTAAAGTTGTTCATAAGTCAATAAACTTTAAATGACCGTCTGCGAGCATCTCCGGTAAGTGCATGGACTGTGTGGAAAATATTTCAGTGGCTCAGAGACCTTTTTCTATTACTTTATGAGATCTTTGCAGTGTTCCCAGATGAGTGAGACTAACAGACACCAGGGAAATTACTGAAAGTTGCTTATAAATATAAATGATCTGTATTATGAGGGTTTTATGTGTTGACATACTATTTTCTCCCCAGCGACACCAAAAAAAGACAGTGCAGAGGCTGTGAGGAAGAAGGAAGTGTGAATTTTTTCAGCCTGTTAATTTTACTAACCTACGTTACCGTCTCTGTCAAAACAGTCAGCGAGAATTAAGTAGTAAAACCCTGCCCCCATATTACAGGAGAAAACATTGACTCAACAGAGAAAAACAAGTCAATTCATTTCCATCTCCTCCCCCTCTTCCAGGCTAAGAGCATGTCTTACCTTACTGAACTGCCCGACCACGTGCTTCAGAATGTTGGGAGGAGCATCATACAGAAACGGCTCGAGGGCTGGCAAATAGGTGCATTTTTGTAGGATATTCTTTATAGCTTTTTTACTCTGTTGAAATACAAGCAAAATACATACCAAAGTAAGTAATCGATGAAAGCTTAACAAAAATACATGTCTCATGTTCCTGGAATTTGAAAAGGAAATCCATTTCCCGGTCTAAGCTGCAGTTGTTTCATTTTTCAAAATAGTTGTCAGAAAAATTGTCTTTCATTGTTTTTATCACAGAATACCCTGCCAGTTGTCTTCATGTCAAATTTTAAAACATATAGTTATTATTGAGCTCTTAAAATACCTATGAAGGAACTAAAATTCTAAATCATAAAACTAGAGACTCTAAATTAATATGGATTATATTTTATAAGTATAAATTTTATATATATAAAACTATGAGATAACTAATGTCCTATTCCTTCCAATCAACAAATATGAGAAAATACTTAATTTACTATAGAAAGCCATTACCAGGCAATCTATGTTCTCCAAAAGATTTCATGGTATGTAGCCAGAAATATTCTCCTATGTGCATTATTCGATGAGCATTTGCAGATATGCTGCTATATATCACAGGTAGAAATTGCCCCATTCATAGATAGAAGCAAAACAGAATCTACTTAACTGTAGAGAAAAGCTCAGCAATAGGGAGTATGTTACCTGCAAGCAAAAAAATAAGTACTCACGTGTACCTTTCCCACTCTCCCTAGCACTCTGTATTCCACGGTGACACCATGTGCTGCTGCCCCCCTGCTGCAAGTGTGGCTGAAGAAGGAGTCTGATGTGGCTGTAACACATCCCTGCAGCCAGCTCTAAGGCCACGGCTGGTGTGATTCTGTTCCCTTGCATTAAAGCCTGCCCCCTTCACTTTGGAAGGCTTCACGACTGGGTTTATCTACAGCTGTTTTCCACTGGAAATCCACATCTGTTTGTACATGTGTGGTTTTGTGCTTCAGTGCGTCCTTATGGCCTTTCCTCTGATCACCTATTCTCCATCTGAGGCCTCAGCTGACCTGTTCCGGCATCTTGCTATTGAACGTTTAGCAATGCTCCTGAATGTCACAGAGCATTCTTATTTTCACACCGTGAATTTTACAGTCAGTAGAGAAATTTTGCAAAAACTTTCATCACATTTGTGCTCTCTGGAAAGAAACTCCTGAATTTGTGATTTCCCCGAGACACAGGCTAAGCCGTCTTGTAATAATCTCTTATCTCTTGATACATTTATCCTTAAATATTGTTTTATAAACTAGATTAAATAAAACAGGAAATTAAGAAATGCAACCCAAAATTTTTTCTACAAGTAGTATAACATAAGTTGGAATGAAATTTTATTCCCAACAAACCTAATTATCTTTGTAAACCATCTTAAGATCATGGGGACGTTAACAGGCCAACAAATTTAACTTAACTACTGTTGGTGACAAAGTCTACTGACAGTATAGCAGAGATCACTTTCACTGTACCATGGAGACAGGCTTGCTCTAATTTTAACAGTTCTAAGTTGGTGATGTACTGTCAAGTCATTAACGAAGAACTCTCGAGGATTTGAACTTCTAATGACGCTAGAAATTCACTGAGCTTTACTATTCTTTGTCAAGAAATATCCTAGATTTATGACTACATACTTCTAGATAGGAATGTATGTCATGATTAATAATCAGCTGTACTGCCCATTATGAAAGGAATATTAGTATATTAATTAAGATTTTGTTTACTTGTCAATTTCTGTGCTTATAATTTTTAACAACTCTATTGTGATACAATTTACATACCATAAATTCATTTTAAGTGCACAAATCAATGGATTCTTAATAAATTTACAGAGCTGTGCAACCATCAACACAATCTAATTTTACAACATTTTCATCAACCCAGAGAGAAACTGCATGCCCATTTATAGTCATTCCCTATTCCCTCACCCCACTTATCCTCACCATCGCCAGGCAAGTACTAATCTACTTTCTGTCTATAAATCTGACATTTCTGGACAATTCACATAAATAGAATCATTCAATATGTGAACTTTTGAGTCTGACCTTTTTCACTAAGTATAATGTTTTTGAGGTTCATTCATGTTATAGCATGTATCAGTACTTTGTTCCTTTTATTGTCAAATAATATTCCATCATACATATTTATCACATTTTATTTATTTGTTCACCAGTTGATGAACATTTGTGTTGTTTACACTTTCAGCTACTATGAATAATGCTGCTATGAAGATGCGTACACAAGTCTGTGTGTAGACAAATGTTTTCATTTCTTTTAGGAAGATACCTAGGAATGGAGTTGTTGGGTGATAATGGTAAATTTATGTTTTAACATTTTGAGAAACGGCCAAACTGTTTTTCAATGTAACTTTACATTCTCAAGAGTAATGTAAGAAGGTTCAAGATTCTCCACACAATGGTCAGCACTTGTTACTGTGCATCTTATTAATTTTAGTCATTTGTGGGTATGGAGTAATATCTCATTATGGTTTTAATTTGCATTTCCCTAGTGACTAATGATGTTTAACATCTTTTCATGTGCTGATCGGTCATTTGTATATCTTCTTTGGTGAAATATCTATTCAAATTTTTGTCTGATGTTTGGGTTATTTGTGTTATTATGGAGTTGTAAGAGCCCTTTATATATTTTGAATACAAGTCCTTTCTCAAGTATGTGATTTGCAAATATTTTTTCCAGTTCTATGGTTTATCTTCTCATTTTCTTCTCAATGGTGTCTTTTGAAACATGTAAGTTTTAAATCTTGATGAAAAGCAATTTATCAATTTTTTTTAAATCATTTATGCTTTAGGTGTCATATCTAAGAAATCAATGCCTAATCCAAGGCATAAAGTTTTATTCCTGTGTTTTCTCTAAGAAACAGTCATAATTCATAATCATATCTATGATCCATTTTAAGTTAATTCTGGTGTATGGTACGAAATAAGGGTCCAAAATTAATATTTTTCAATGAGGATGTAATAATTATCCCATTACCAGTTGCTGAAAAGACTATCCTTTTCATGTTACACCACCTTGGCACCTTTGTAAAAAATCAATTGACCGAAAAAGGGTCTATTTCAGATTTTCAATTCAACTACATTGATATATATGTCTTTCTGTAAGCAAGTACAGTACTATCTTAATTACTGTAGCTTTGTTAAGTTTTGAAATTAGGCAGAGTAAGTCCTCCTTTTTCAAGATTGTTTTAAATAATCTGGGTCCTCTGCATTTCCATGTGCATTTTAGAATCAGCTTCTCAATTTGGGGGTAGGAGAGACAGTTGGGATTTTGATAGAGATTGTGTTGAACACATAGATAAATTTGGGTAGTATTGCCATCCTACAATATTGAATCTTCCAATCCATGAAAGTGGAATGTCTCTCCACTTATTTAGATTTTCTTTAATTTTTTTTTAGGAATGTTTATAGTTTCAGTGTACAAGTCTTATATTTCTTTTGTTAAATTTATTCATAAGTCATTTATTCTTTTTATGCCATTGTGAATAAAACTGTTTTCATAATTTCATATTTGAATTCTTCATTATTAGCATGTGGAAATACAATTGATTTTGATATATTGACCCTATACCCTTTAACTTTGTTGAACTCATTAATTCTAGTATTGGTGTGTGTGTATTCTGTAGGCTTTTCTACATACAAGATTGTGTCACATGTTAGATTTAAAATTTGACAGCCTTTAGTAATTGTGCCTTATGTAGGTTATTTATTGCTGTGAGCAAAATAAAATAGTTCTTATAACTTCATACTGTGAATTGTACAGAAATTATATGGCATCAACAAACTCTTTTATTTACTTAACTCAGTAAATCAAGTGATATCTTACTTTGAACTAATGAACAACAGATTATGAATTTTGCTAATTGTCACTGCATTTAGTAGCTAGTGTGTATCTTTAGACATACATAATATATGATGATATCAGAGAAGGAGTCAAAGGCTATACATTTAGGACAACTTGACTTTCAGCCTGGTTTTCCTATAAACTAGCGTAGCATCCACAGTTCTATATTCATTCATTTTTCTGTCATTGCTTTCTTTTCATTAAATTTATTTGAGTGACATCAGTTAATAAAATTATATAGGTTTCAAGTGTACAATTCAATAATACATCATCTGTATATTGCATTGTGTGTTCACCACCCAAAGTCAAACCTTCTTCTGTCACTGTCTATATGACCCCCTTTACCCTTATCTATCTCTCTCCTACCCCACCCCCACCTATTCCCTCTGGTAACCACTAAACTGTTGTCTGTGTCTATGCATTTTTGTTTTGTTCATTTATTGCTTTCAGTTTTATATCCCATATATTAGTGAAATCATATGGTTCTCAATTTTTGTTATTTTATAGAACTGTCCACACTGATTAAAGCTGTTGTAAAAACCACGTAACTGACTAACGACACTATATTTTACCTCTAAACAACACACGTAAGAATAATAATTAACAAAATAAAATTGTCAATATAAACCTTTGATATCATTTCAATTGTTTTTCACAAAAAGGAAGGAATAATAAAAATTATTCATTGTTGCTTTCCTTAATGGATGATCTTAAATAAAACTTTAAATTTTTTCTTAAATGTTTCTTATTCAAAAGTTAATTTTGTTCCAAAAGCATTTTGGCCCAAAGAGGTATAGTTTTTTAAATGAAGGGAGAACATAGGAATACATTTTGTGACCTTAGGTTAGACGAAGTCTTCTTAGATATGGCTCCAACAGCACAAGTAACAAAAGAAAAAAAATACAAAAATTGAATTTCACTAAAACTTAAAAGTGTTTTGCTGTAAATGATACCATCAAGAAAGTGATGAGACAATCTACAGATTGGGAGAAAATACTTGTAAACCATACATCTAATAAGTACTTGTATCTAGAATATATAAAGAACGTTTGCAACTCCATAATAAAAAGATAAATACCTTCCTTTTTTAAACAGAGCTAAGAGTCTAATTACCATTTCTCCAGAGAAGATATGTGAATGGCCAATAAGCACATGAAAAGATTTTCAGTATCATTAACCACAAGGGAAATACAAATCAAAAACACAGTGAGATATCAATTCACACCCACTAGGATGGCTATAATAAAAAACAAAGTTAATAAGTGTTGGCCAGGATATGGACAACTGGAACCTTCATGCACTGCTGGTGGGAATATAAAATGGCGCTCACATCAGAAAACAGTTTGGTGGTTCCTCAAAATGTTAAACAGAGTTATCATGTGAGCTAGCAATTACACTCATAAGTATCTACCTAGGGAAAAAAAAAAAAATCTCTCCATGCAAAAACTTGCACAGTAATGTTCATAGCAGCATTATTCCTAATAGCCAAAAGTAGAAACAACCCAATTGTGCATCAACCGGTGAATGGATAAAGGTGGTTTATCAAAATACAGTAGAATATTACTTGGCAATAAAAAGAACAAAATATTGATATATGCTGTAACAAGAATGAGACTTGAAACTTATGCTTTGTGAGAGAAGCCAGGCACAAAAAGCCACATATATTGTATGATTCTATTTAAATTAAATGTCCAGAAGAGACAAACACACAAAGACAGAAAGTAAATTAATGGTTGCCTGGGGCTAGACAGGGAAGATACAGCTAATGGGGGAATGAAAATGTTCTAAAATTAGATAGTAGCGATGGTTACACAACTCTGTGACTATACTAAAAGCCACTGAATTATACAATTTAAATGGGTAAATTACATGGTATATGAATTGTGTTTCAATAAAGCCACTAAAAATTTAAGGGGAACAACCATGATAATAAGAATACAATATTTAAATCAAATAATTATCTTAGAAATAGTTTTATAACTAAGGCGATAGAATGAACTTATTCAAATGCCAAAACTAACATGAAACATTTCAATACGATGCCTTTAAATCAAAACAAATGAAAATGTAATTGCCTGAATATTTTCAAAATATATATAGGTAAGCTTATTAGATAAAAGATTTATTTTTTCAGTTTTTTATAAGATATTTGAAAGAACATAGGCTCAGACAGATAGTAAGGCTATGTGAAAATATGCAAGAAATTCCAAGGGGCTGCTCATTGGTTCTCTTGGATCAGAACCAGTTAGAGAATGCTTACAGAAGCTGACATGCCTTTGGGACAAAATGAACTTTAACATGGCCTTGTAATTTGAAAGCTGCCATAGAGTTACAACTGAGAAATACCATTAGACAGTTTCTGAAGCTCTTGAATACATTTTTCCCTACTGAGACAATGTCAAATCAAACAGATTTGGAGTTTCATCCTAAAGTCTTTAAAACAACTGATAGAATCCAAGAGACCTTGGGAAGAAAAGAAAAAAGAATGGCCAAGTCCCTACAATAAGAAAACATTTGGATGGACTTAAAGCCTTGGAGAGATTGCTAACAGGACAATGATTGATAAAGATCCCACTTTTTAACCCAGTGTGTTTCCTGAAAGTAAATATCGCATCAAATGTAGACAGAAAAACCTCGACTTCTATTAGTAAACCTAAATGTTTTACTAAAATCACCTTTGTTAAAATAAAACACAAAAAAATTATCTTAAAGAAGTGAAGTTTTCAAACTTATTTTACTCCAGTGATTTTTATATATCACAACATAAAAAGTCATTAAAAACCAAAATATATAAACTTAGTAGTATGTAAAAAGTATATAGTGCTATCTAAGAGACTATTTGTAAGGGTTTCTCAGCTGTAATTACTGTTAACTCCACTGCTGATTATTCATGCTCTAGCTTATGTATTCCTTTATTTCTAAAACTTCAAGAAAATAAAAGTTGTTAAATGCAAGAATCTGAAAGTGCTAGAGACTTTTTTCAGGATATTAATGATTTATCTGTTGACAGCATAAAGGTTGAACATAATTATTATTACATCCTGGGCAGCATAGCTCATGCCTTTAGGAACCCAGCAGAGGTGGCCCCAGTCATTGACTCACTAGAGGTAAAGGGCAAGGGAGGATGAGAAGTGAGGAGGAAGGCAGAGGGAACAAGAGGAATTTGGGGGGTGAGAGAGGGAAGAGGGAGGAAGAAAAGGCAATAATGACCATGGGTTAAAAAAATATGAAGCCAAAAGAGAACTACAGACATAGGTTAAAATTACATATATGCAAAGTAGCTGTCTTGGACACCTCAAAATTGAAAATGGGATTGTGGTTTCTCAACCAGAAAGTCAAAGAATTACAGAATTGTTAAATGGAAAAAGCCTTAGCACATGGCCAATCTTACTCTCCCTACCAAGCATTGCCAAAGAACACGGTCAATATCGGAGAAATATAAAGGAAGCCCTCCGTCTATCAAATCATCGCTCTGATCTAGAAATAGAGAAGTAACGTGTAAACATAACCAAATATAGATAATTTCATTTTTGTAAAATTTAAAATTTATAAAGATATAAATTAATCATTAACGATCCACTATATATAGCTTACAGAGTCCCTGAACTATACAGTTCTAATAAATTTCCTGCCTCATTATGTCACCTAAAGTTTTTTCAGCAAATACGTTTTCTTATTTGTTAATTTGTTGTTTTAATTAAAATTCAAGTATAATTTAACTTACTGTTATTAGTTTTATTTTGAATTATTGTGCTTTCTGTGCACTTCTTTCAATCCAAGTCAATTCCAAAAGCTGCTTTCAAAAAGTAACATGTTTTCCTAATGAGTCAGTATGCTTGGAAACACTTTTTTTTCTTTGAAATATTATAATTATTAAACAACTCATCCTACTTTATGTTTTATGAATCAGACATTTAGTAGCTAGTAATATATTTTTAGAAAGTTTGATTTTTTAAAAAATGCATATTTAAAAATGTTTACTTCAGTGAATCTTATGGACATTTTAAGGAACAAATATTAGACATATAATTAAAAGCCCAGGCAGATGTGGAGTGAGGAGAGGTAGATCATAGCTTCAGGAATACCCTCTACTCAGTTATATTTGACATCCCATTCTAATTCCAAAATTCTATTCTTCATTCCTGTTCTATAAGAAAAGTTGACAGGAATGTAGCAGGCGACATCTGTCTTACAAACTGCGCCTGCAGAGAACTTTCTGTAAAATGTACTGTTCATTTTCAGAGACAAGGATAACTCATTTTCAAAGAAGTCACCTCAGTTCTTCAGGTAAATTTGTATCTCTTAACTCATAAAAACAATATTGTCCATAATGAAAATTAAAACATTTTAAATTACGTATTTTTAAGAATGAGTCAAAATCTAACAAATCTTTATAAAACAGTTAAAAATTAAGTGCTTACTTTTACTTGAAGATCCTCAGAGCTTTCTGCTGACATGTACAAAGAAAGCAGAACTGGCAAAGTATTTGTCACTGCGACAGCCCGTGCATGCTCTGGAGTGTGTCTCCCAATCTGTCCCAAGGCCCAAGCAGCAGCAGCCTTAATATGATCTTCTGGTTCTTCTGACAAGCAGACTGACAACTGGGGCACACCCTGCAGCGTTGATCAAAAGAGCAAGTGTATGAAACTAGAGCAGGATTAAAGAGTCTTCCATGTCTCTCAAACGTTAGAAGAAATCATTTTGGCCTTGATCCTTTTTTTCCTAAATGGTTCAATAAATAAGCACATCACAGGGGCTATCATTTTTCAAGTCGATAAAATGACTAGAACTAATTTACTTTAATTATCTGTAACAATCCAGCTAAACTAAGACTATTTCTGCTAGACTTTCCCAAATCGAGAGAGAGGCATTTAACCAAACAACAGACGCCACAAACTAGTATTTAGGCAAAACCAGATTCCACTGTGACAAATCAAAAATGCTTAGGATTTTAAAACCTTTAATTTTCCTTTGTTAAAAGAGTAAATTTAGAAACCTTTTTAAATTTCCTTTTTACTAAGTAGAATAGATCTGAGAACAAAATAACTCCTATAGATCCAACATCAAATTAATAATATGAGCAAGAATTCTATTTACATAACTTTTATATGAAATATATTCACTAAAATCTTTCTTGAAAGAGTAAATAAATTTCCATGAATTTTAGTTAACTTTTAAATGATAGTTTTGCCCATTTTAACATGATTGAATGTCAAAGTGGAAATGATTACTTTTGTAACACAGCACTTACTTATATTTTGCACTGTAGACTTCAATTTTATCTAAATAACTGAAACAGAAGTAACTAAAGGGCCTCAAATACATCACAATTTATACATCCGAAGAAGAAGCAAATAGCCAAGTTAAATTATAATTCCAGATTCTGTATAATTTTCTAACTAATTTGAGACTATAGTTACTATCACCTTAAATTTAGTACCACAAAAGTCAATGTCACATCGTCATGCTACCATAGCAAAGGCCAGATGATCATATACACTTTTTTGTCCCTCAACCTTTAAATTTGGTTATTAAGACCAATTTCCTGAAGAGACCTGCCATATTTCTTCATTGGCTTCTTTTTTACAACTAAAAATGTGTGTCTGCCAATACAAAAGGTCAGACCTGTCTTTAGAATGAGGCAACTTTCCAGAACGTCCGTATTCTGAGACATATCAAGATTGAAGAAGCAGGAGGAAAAGCAGCCTCCTCCACCCGGACCCTCCAACCTCTGACTTACAGGCCTCAGCTGTTATGAATACCACGTGAGACAAGGAGCACGAATGTGCTTTGAAGATGTGCTTAGAGTACTGTGTGGGGAAAAGAAAGTACTGTGCGGTTTGCCTCAGACTGCTGCTGCCACCTTGATCTTCAACTAACTGAGCGACAACTAGGTGGGAGAGGCCAGCAGCAACACTGCACCAAAGGAGGGGAGAGCCTCCTGGTTGGTTTGGGGAGGGAATATAGGAAGCAAAAGCAACTCTTTCTTCTTTCATCATTCTTCCTATGTGCAAGCCTTCTGATGATCCATAAAAGAACCAAGAATCAAAACTCCCGGGGACATCCCCACGGCGACCCTTCAGAAAGCAGCACCACTGCTCTGGTGGCTATCACAGTCTCTGGTAATAGAAGAACAAAAGGAAAAGCATGGGATAAAAAGCTGGAGAAGCAAAGAACTATCAAGGAATAGGTAGGAAATAAAGATCTGAGGCTCCTTTTTATTCTAAGGATTAGCAAAGGCTAAAAAAAAAAAAAGTTCCACACTTCCGTGTAACATACAGTAACAGGTTTTCTATGCTGGTAAGAAACCCGCATTCTAGAGGGTTGCTAGAGACACTAAGCACATAGCCTCTGAAGTGTACTTCAGGAGATCAATATACTCATTTAACCAATATTTTTTGAGCACCTACTATGTGCCAGGGCTACACTGTATGAAGGGTTAATATTAAGTTGTAAATTGAGGTGAGACCAAATCCCCAGAGCGAGAACGCAAAATATTGCTGTCTGACATGCACTACGACATGTAGGATTGCCTGCATCTGAAAAGAGAAATCGAAAGCTAAAGAAGAGAAAGTGGACAAAAAGGGATGCCCTCGTCATTGTCATCTCCTACCCAAACTACAGGAAAGGGAGAATGGAGAGATCCGTGAGAACAGCGAAAACAACTACCGAGCATGTCTTCTATAACAATTGTCTTTAATCAAAGTACGCTTTACATGTTTGTAAATGTGTACAGTCAACCCTTCAAGATACAAATACATTGAATATTTTAATACAGATAATACTAACATGCAGAGGTACTGATACTTTGTTGATATTAAATACTAAGTAAAACTTTAAACTGCAGCAAAGTAAACTTTACTTCAATAGCATTGCTCTCAGAAACTTCCTAATTAGCCTTGAAAACAAGCTGAAAAATTCTTCAGGTTTCTTTCACTCCAGTCAGTTATAGTCTATACTCTATGGGAGAGTATTCATCTGTGGTTCTGTCTTAGAATCTATCTCACTGCAATAACGAGAAGAAAACGGAACAGGAACAAACCTTGGAAATGATCACCGCCATTGCCAGGTTCTCAGAATGAGCCGCCACGTAGCCAAGCATCATGATGCCAGGCAGCCTGATGTTGCCTTTGCAGGACCCAAGGCAGTCAATCACGGCAGCAACGCCCCCTGCGTTAACTATCAACTGGGAAAGCTGAGAGAGAAGGAGAACTGGTCATTGTGACCGTGAAGCATAAGATGATCTTTAAACATTACTTTAGTGCTGCCAAACTTTTTTACCTGGGACCTAAACACATCTGGTAAAATTTGAAATATGGTTTAGCGAAATTACTATACTTAATAAAGAAATATATAAACATAATAATTCTGCCATTTCGAATGTACGAATATACTCAGTGTTTCAATTTTTCGTGCATCAATGGTACAACTTTTACCCCTATTATAATGGATGTCAGAATTCCTCATCTAGACATGATGCCTAGGACTAGTTCATAACTAGCTAACTAGTGAAAGCCCCAAGCACAATGTGTGAATATGAAGGAGATTAATCATTGAATGTTGAAAGACAATGTGGGACTCGAAATATTCTAGCCTAATTATCCCTGTTTGCAAGCAGTGATTACTAGCTGATTACCCTTCAATCATGAAAAATCTCAACCAAGTAAAGATGTTAGGTGAAATAAAGAATGAGGACTTTAAAGTTTAGTGAAATAAAACTGATCAGCCAAAATACACACAGAAAATATATACAACTTCAAAATCCACCCAGGCTTCTTTCATCACTGTTCCTTTGGCATCTAAGCACTCAGAGCGGGAACCACCATGTAAGAGCTACTGCTAGAGCGGGGGACTGGTGGTCTCTCACCATGCCCAGCTGACCTAAAATGACAAAAAGGACAAAGCCCCCCAGTCCTCATGATCTAGAAACGGAATGCTGAAGACGATTAAAAACCGAGATTTCAGTCTCAAACTCCATGGTTATAACCTGGTGGTTCTCAAGGGGAAGGCATTTTTGTCCCCTGGGAAACAGTTGGCAATGCATGGAGACACTTTTGATTGTCATGATTTGGGGACGGGTGCTACTGGCATCTAGTGGGCAAAGACCAAGGATGCTGCTACATATCCATCTTACGGTGTCCAGGACGACCCCCTACAACAAAGAATTATCTAACCCAAATGTCCATAGTTCTCAGGATGAGAAACCCTGATCTAACCAGATCATGCAGTAGAGTACTTGGGTCCTGTATACACATTTATGTTTTACTTAAAAACAAAAATTAGTATTATTGTATTTAAAGGTTTTGGGGGTTTTTTGTTGTTGTTGTTGTTGTTGTTGTTTTACCTCAGGTGTATGTTTTGCAATCTCTCTAATTAAAGTAGAAGCATTTTTCTTCACGTATTCGTCTTTGTCCTTCAGACAGGTAAGTACAACTGGAAAAATCTCTGCTTCAACTACCATTTCTGCCAGATCCACAGAATGTTTTGCAACCTGACTGAGCGCTGAAAGGACTTGACGCTGTTAAGCAAAAAAAAACAAAATAAAAAACATTACGTAGAGTCCACTGTGGAGTTCAGATATAATTTAAAGGGCTTTATACATAGTCAATTTTTTTTTATAAAAAGAGAAAAACAATTGCATACCTAATATAACCTAAGATTTCTGAAGTCTCAAGACTTTTACATCCTAGCCTTATACCTAAATACTCTACTTAAATGCTCTGATTTCCAAATTAAATGTCTTAGCTTCTATGTACTATTTAAATCTCTATCCCAAATGATCAAAGATGAATACTGCTTCTTAATTATGTAATACTTAAATTGTTAATTTACAATACATGTGGTAATGTAGCACAAAAAAGATCAAGCAGAACTAACATCTTATTTTGGGCATGATGAATGACAACATTTCAAAGAACTTTCCATTGCTTAGTTAATATTAACAATTTAAAAACCTTGTAGGATATAACTATTAGAATACAAAAGTATAATTGGTGATTGTTAACTGAAAATCAGATTTTAGAAAGCTATAAAAAAAGACTAAATATGATTTTCATAAGAAATTTAAATAGTGTGAGCTAGAAAATCATTAGTCCCTTCCTACCCTAAGATTCGAAATCATTATGTGATTCCTGATTTTAATGATTAACGTTAATACTGAGGCTACTTCTAATTCTTAGCATTACACATATTTTCCCCAGTCATGTCTTACAGCATAATTTTCACATATTAAAAGACCAAATACATAATATAGTGACATGTTTTCAATGATAATTTACTAATTATTTTTAAATGTATAATATTAATCTATGCACATTTCCATTTTCTTAGATTAACAGAAGACTGGTTTGTGTTTTAACTTATTTTTAAATACCTTCAATTTAGCATCAGGGTTCAGGATCATCTGGGCTAAGTGAGCAATAGCTCCTGCATCCACTACTGTCTGTGCTAACTCCGGAGAATGCTTTGAAATATCACTAAGGGCCGAAGCAGCAATCCTTTTCAAAGCAATTTCTGGCTCCTGGATACAGAGCACTAAAAGAGGAACCGCTCCCGCATCCACCACAGCTTGTGACAGTTCTGTGGGTCCAAGAAAAGTAATTAAGTGAGTATGGGTGACTGACCCTTGTGCAAGCCATTTTTCACCCTGACAGATACAGCAAAGAAAAAAGGGGAGGGTGTACTTCACTGTCTCGACATCTGCATTTCAAATCAGCTTTCCTGGTTTCATAAACCATGTGGACCAATCCCAAGCTGAAAAGAATACAGGTCAATAGATGGACCTCCATTTACATGAACACATTTGAGGTAGATTAGGCTGAAATGGCTTGTTATTCTTTTTTTTTTTTTTTTTTAAGAGCGTAAGCAGATGTCAGCTGTTTAAGCTCTGACAATTCTGCACTTCTCAATAGGCAAGCATTTTATGCATGGTTTACAATAACAGAGAAAATTAAAGTACCAAAAATTTACCAACCACACTAATTAGGCAGTATTTTGTGCTATTTACATGAGTAAACATTAACACGAATCTTGTGCCAATAATGTTGATTTTTAAATTCCTTTCATCTTATAGGACTTTCAAAAGATTTTTTAAATTTTTATACAAAATAAAAAGGTACATTTTTATTGTACATATAAAAACATTTTCAAAAATGAGATCTATGACTGAACGACATATTTTAATATATATAAATGTTAATGTTTAAATAAAGGAATAAATTTATCAACCATTTTACATGTCAGAAATAAACATCTTTTGAATATACATGTGATTTACTTGTGTGCCCAAAAATAACAGCTATAAAAATAAAACATTTTAAGTTATAGATAATGAGAGACAGGCTGGCAGACCCATATAATATATATATAAAAAATATATTTTGAAAAGCATTAAACACAATACATAGTTACAGATTCTACTTTCATTGTATTCATGGCCTCTCTTACTGAATCACACATACCCATTTCTATAATCTCTTCCTTTCAAATTATGTTCTCATTTGCCTAGATTTGTAGTGCCCTGACAATTTATGTCTTAAGAACCAAACTATCTCTACAGCTTATCACTTAAAGTCTTTAAAGAAAATGTGGTGTTAACTTTTTCAAAAAATTGATAATATCACATTTTCTAACAGGAAATAATGTTAGACTATACAGATTAGCATCCAATATTTGTTTTCCTTAAATTATTATAATTATTTAGAGGTCCCAATATTATGTAAACATCTCATTCATTCTATCATTAACCAAGTATTAATGAAATGTTATTATGTGCCAGACACTTTCAAATCTGATGCAGATGACAGGCTTCTACAAATTAATACTACATTTATTAGCAAATGTGTTTCAATTTTTAAATCTAGTGTGAAATATGAAAATAGTTTTAAAAAGAAAAAAAAAAGACAACAACAGCAACAGACAACAGACTAGAATATCAACAGTTTCCTCAGAAGCACCTCTGCGATTCTACCTCAATTGCCTGAAGACCAACAAGACAGCAGGTAAAACAGGAAACAGGAGATCACTGGTTCTCTCTCTTCCCCAACCCCATCCAAGGGAAATGAAAGAAACATAAAGCATGATATTATATGTAATTTCTAGATATAATTTTCATATGTTACGTTAATTGACATATTGATTTGGTCCAGCCCAAAGTACACAGGTGTTGTATGGTAACATCAGTGTTATATGTACATATCTAAAGCAGCATCTAGAATATATGTAGTGGGCTGAGCATTTTGCTTCAAGAGAGTTTAAGGGTTAGTTCATCTATTTATGTATTATCACTTTTATAAATAGTTTATAAGAGTAAAGAATATGTAGTAAACTATAACTATTTAAGAGTACTATTAACAAAAAATTGTCTCTTTAAAAAACAATCTGTTTTCTTTGTAATCCCCACACATTTTATTCTTCCATTGAATAGCAGACTGCCATATCCTCTTTTCCCTGAACTCCAGAATGTTAACAACGAAGCAAATTCTGTTCTTCTAACTTGTTACACTATCCTACCCTAACCTGTTTTCTGTTCTCTCTGGAGTAGTGATGTTAAATGTGGGGAAAGCTGGGGATGGCTCTGGAGAAAGATTTGCCACGAAGGTAACGAAGTTCCCAAAGTCGTGGCCTGGGCGGAGCCATTTTGTACTTGTGATTTCATGTACTTAGCGTATCTAAATTTATACTGTCCTATGAAGCTGGCATCTGCTCTTGGGTGGCACATATTTTTTAAATGATATTGTTCTACTATCCTCATACATATACACTAGGTATAAGAGTGTAGTATATATAGGTAAGGATACAATATAGGCGTAAATAATGCACAACATACTGTATTACACATACCACAGGCTAACTCTTTCAGTCTACCTCTGTCACTACTCTTTCTCCTATAGCATCTCTTTCTCCTCTTCCCTACCAATGCTTCCTCTGGCATTTCTGTGCCTCTGACTGTTGGTGTCAACCCAATAGCCTTTGCCAGCCATGGATGGGCTCGTGAACCAATCCTGGCCAATGGGACCTGAGTAGAAGTCAGCTAAAACCATCTGTGAGAGGCTTTCCTCTGTCATAAACAGAAATATACAGGAGGAAACACTGCCTCATCTTTGCTGGACATGGTCATGTCTGCAAATGACATCTGGAACTCCTACATCCATCTTGCTACTATAACAGAAGAAATCACCAATATGCTGAGGATGGCTGAGTACAGAAAATGAAAAACATCTGGGTCGTCCATGACACTGTTCAGCTGCATAACCGGCTTTGGAGATGCCCTGACTCTGAACTTTGCGTCATGTGAAATAAAAAAGTGTCTTTATGGTTTAAGCCACTTGTAGTTGATATTCTGTAACTTACAGCCAAAAGCATCCTGATGTAACTCTGTCCTCTCGTGTGCTCAGTGTATGGGCATACTTTCCTCTCTCTAGTCACTGAGAGTTCGTTAAACGCTTACTACATGCTAGAAATTTGGCTAGATGTTGGGGAGCAGAATAGAGTAAAACACTGTTCTGTTCTAGAAGACTTTGCTCAGGGTGAATATACAAACAGACCACTCACTAGAAGTACGGAGCGGAGCTAGGAGTCACGTCTGAGGAGTGTCTGGTGAAAATGTATGCAGGGGCGCCATTTCAGGCAGTTTTTCCCACCTTACTTACTTGTCCCTTTTTCTATTTTTCCTGTACTTTCCTACTCTAAAAGAAGGAGTAATAATCAAAACACATACAAAATTCTGATACATTTAAAAATCACATCTCCTAGGGGAAATTTCAAGAGTTCATATTAAAATTCTAATTTTGAAATGAGCTTTGATTCAATTAATTATCATGCTTATGAAATCAAAGATTGATATGTACAGACTTAGATGTTCATCAAAGGTTTGAAAAAAAAGCAGGGAGCCAAGGAATTTATCTTTCATATCTTTGAAAAGATTTTAGCCTTGTTTTAAATTTTAAGTGGATCTTCAAAAAAGATAATTTTTTAAAAATACACCTTCTATTGTGCAACAAGTGACATGATCATATACTGTTAATAAGCAAGATTAGAAGTATTTGTGCCAAGAAAAATGCAGAGAAAAAAGGCTATACGATATACCAACATATTAACAGGATTTGTCACTATTGGGTTGATGGTACTATTAGTGACATTTTCCTTTTCTATTTGCCAAATTGTCTTCAATATGATTATATATTTCTAAAAAGTAAAAGAAATATGAATATGTCTCCTTTAAAGAAAATATTAGGAAAGGGTGTATAAGTATTCTTTGAAGAATTACTAATATACACTAGAAATATTATCTATTGGCTTTTTCACACTTTCCCTCTTGCCTTAATCCATGCCCTTATTATGTTTAAGTTAAAGCATTACATTTTTTTAATGTTAAGGGTTATGCTTCATTTTTAACAATTTTTTAGATTACAAATTGTCAGAATAAACTATTAATGGCATCTTCTTTATTCATAAATAATAATAAAAGCCATTTGTTGCATACATGTAGACGATTGAATATACAGTCCTCAGATTTGATGGTCAGCTATCTTCAGTAAAGGAGTAACTAGTTCTATTGGGCCTCACAAATAGCTCGTTGTCCAATGGAGGAACTGAGGCAGCCTCCTCTGTGCTGGTGGGGTCGTCCCATCATACTTCTCTCTGCCTCTCAGTTTTTCCGTGGTTCTTTCTAATAACATTTATGAGGCCTATGTGCATGCAATTCTTTGAATATTAAGAACGTGAAAAATTTGGGTGACAGCTTGCTTCTCACACAGCTGCTTTTTCTTAGGAATTTTATTCTATGCTTTTCTCAGGACTTGGGCTTTTGTTTTTGTTTTTGTTTTTTGGAGGGGCAGGGGAGTAGGCGTGGTCTTAACAAAATAAAGACTTGAAGTGCTCTCTCACTAACATTAAGATGTGAAGCGTTACTGTTTAAATGCATCAAAATCTTCAATTTAGCATAATCAAAAAAAGCTCAGTATAACTTTAGATTTAATTTTAAAACAGAGAGAGACATGGATAAAAGGGTGGACTTCTAAGATCAATATTGTTTATAAAATTAATGCTATCTAAAGCTGATGAATGGAATGTTAGAAATGATTTCACGCTGACTTGAAGAACGCACACAGAAATGCCCAGCAGAGTATAATAGGCTTGACTGTAACAGGTAAAACTAGGGAAATGAGGCAAAAGTAATTTTGCTTTAATAGTGCTCACAACAGCCTCAACCCCGCCTCTTAACTGTTATTTATGGCTAATTGTTTGTGTAGCTCTGGAGTGGTAAACTGAAATGTCTCACGAGGCCCAGGCAAACAAGTAGAATAAGTGAAGCCAAAGGGTGTAAGAAAAATACCCAGTGGGAGACCAGCAGTAAACCGGAAACGCGTAGGCACCAGCTACAAACAGCAGTTAATCGGCCTCAGCCCAGTATGGCCGCGTAGGGATATAGGCCTACTGTTGTCAGACCTTTTGATTTTTAAAAAGAAGCCAGAAGTCTGATTTTTAATGTGAAGTGGCACGATTTTTAAGGTAGGCAACTTTTTTTTTTTTTTTTTTTTTAAGAACGCTGTGCGAGACAATATACTGCAGGCCAAATA